GTCTCCATTGCTTTTCTCTGCTCTGAATATCCCCCTCAAATGTACACTTAATTAAAAAAAAACAGAAAAAAACTACTCCAAAAATAAGATAAAAAAGAGTCTAAGAGATCACTGAAATCCCAACCTGAATGATTTTTTCCAAACCCCTTTCAATACCTGCATAATGTTATTATAATAGTGCATTAATAAGTAAAATTTAACTCTCTATGAAAACATTGCTAATGTATGCAGTGACTTCAGCAAGCCTGCAAGTAAGAAGAACAAGTTTCTTAAATCAAACATTTGTAGGGTTCAATGACTCCTTTTGTGGATGTTTGCTAATGAGACACTTTGCCAACCTTTTGTGGAATCTGTGCAAGGGCTGAAGCAATCATATTGGCTCTTTCTTCTGTCATGCTACTAATCATGGACCCCAGAGAAAACACCACGATACCATGCTCCCCAGAGGTCTGCACAAAGTCTTCCACTTCCTGTGAAGACAGAATTGGCTCCTTAAAAAACAAAACAAACAAAACAACAACAACAACAACAACAAACCACCACAGCAGACTATTCAAAACTTTGTAATTTGAAAAAATGATAAAATCAAGAATTAATAGAAATTAGTGGAGAAGCTCTGGTTAAATGAAAGTAAGACACAGTTCACTATCTGCAGCATTTTAGGTGAAGTTATACAAAGAGTAATGCTGGTGATATTTTTGTGCAGTCAATATTCCAAACAGTTATTTCTTATACAATTAAAGCTTTATACTTAATATATTTTACATGACAAACTTCAGAAAATTGTAGTTCTCATTTATGTTTCCATTTCATGCTAGAAAAAGGGTGATTTTTTCATTTTCTTTTTCCTTATTTTCATCTCACAATATTGCTATGACTGATTTATTGTTATTGAAGATATTTTGATGACGCAACTAGGTGTTTAATGCACATATATAGCTAAACATGTTTTTTAATCTGAAGTTTTTATTATGGCTGACTTAGTGTTATCAATATTTCTTAGGTAAAACTATTGTGAAGGTATACAAGATATATATTTTCTGATTTAACCACTTCTAAATTTTAGATGTTTAGGTTACTGCCAAGTAATATTTTTACAAAAAATTGCTAGATAGAATGATTCTTTGCACCTTGATTATTTTTCTTTGCAAACATTCAAATGGGTGTGCTATATAGCCAAAGGATATAAATGGTGTTAAGGCTTCATATCCATATTTCTATTTTCTTCAATGTAAACCAGCTGTTATTAGCAATTTTTGCCATTACAAAATGTTTTAGTTTTCTTTTTGTCTTTTGTATCTGCTTCTTTTATTTTCTGGTCATATAACACTGGTGCTTTCTAATCAAGTAATCTTTCAAGTGTATGGGTATAAAGATTAATATATACACTAATAATGCTTCAAGTATTTGACTTGTGGAGTTCTTGCACAGTATAGATAAATTACATTGACAGAGGATATTGGATTTTTACCAAATACTCAGCTTTTAGTTTTATATTGCTGCTAATGAGAAAGTAAACAAAAGGCTTTTTTAAAATATCATGTATATATTCTGGAAAAATTAAGCTTCATTTCTATATCTGTTGGAGAACTATAATGTCAATTTAAAAACATTCGATTTTTCCATCCCCTCATAAGGAATGTCGCTCTCTACACTCCAAAATTCTTTTGTATTTCACACCTAATTCAATTTCAGAGAACTCATTGGAAGTATGAGTCACTTAGTTCATATTCCATATTCTCTGCTCTCCTTCTGCCAGGTAACGTTGATGCCAAGATCATATCACAAGAGGGAACTTTCATGAGATACCCTACAGGCTTGACAAATATTTTGGACTTAGCTATCTGGTTCTAAATTCCCCATCTAGCAAAATTAGCATCATGATAAAATAAGCTTGCAATTCTTGGAAATTGATTTTACTATTTTAGCAGCTGCTCTGTTTTGTATCTTTCTCAATCCTCATCAGTTGGCTTAATCCTGCACCTGTTCATTTTTATTATTATCAACTGGAATGGCATAATTTAGAATCCAAGCTGTATTTTTTCTTAGGATTATAATGCTCCCCCCTAAAATATGTATTTCTGATCATTTTTATTACTTACTTATACTGTATCTTTCCAAATAGTATACAAGATGTTTGGGCAAGGCAACTATAATGTCTGTGTTGTTTCTATGCTTATCTAACATTTACTGATGTTGTACATTAGTGGCTTTTAGATTTTAAATGAATGAATAAATGATAATGTAGAATACTGAAGACTATAATGTAATGGACTCTAACTACTAGGCATCTCATGTTCTTTTTGAAATGAAAATAGTTATAATGAAATAGAAATATGATGTTTTTAGATGGGGTCTTCTTATGAAATCAAGGTTGATCTTCAACTTGTGTTTCCCAGGCTTCCTTGAAGTAGTGGTTCTCCTGCTTGACTATCTGGAGCTCTAGGATTACAGGCGAGTGCTACCATTCCCACCTGAAATATGAGTTTTTACTTGAAAAAGCACTTTTGCTGTTTTGCCACACCTTGTTGCACTGTGAGTTAAGACTCTCAATGACTAGTTCAGAGCATTTTCACAGAAATTTAAAAGAAAAACTAAATACAGTAATGTATTTACCTTAGGCAAAGGTTTGGCAGGTTTGCAGTGGAGTCCTCCCACAAAATCAAAATTGGGTAAGCTGGGCCGAGGGAATTCCAAATCCCAGTAGCTTCGAACGAGCCACATTTCTGCTTTTCCCATTGTCTTGTATATTGTAGTGGGTCTTCCTGTGTAAAGAAGGAGAAAAAAAGATAAAAGTTTGGAGAATTACAGAATTGTTGAGTGCATCTACTGTATATCATTGAAAAATGTGGGAATAATGCATTAATTTTATTGTCAAAACTATATATGAATGATAAAATGTTGAGATTTTATGTATGGTTCAATTGTGGCTGAGAAAGACAAAATGAAAAGCAACTGTGTTTGTCATATTACCCCAACATAGTCTAAATCATATTCATTAAAATACATATTGTATAATTAAGCATGCATTCCTTTTCTGCGAAGCTGCCAAAATAATAGATACAAATATAAGCCAATATTCTAGCTTCAGAATCAAGTAATCATACTATAGCATTATAAGTACCATGTGCTAAATGATTGCACCACTTGAGCAGTGAATGGCACTATTACCATGGAACAGCTTTTTTAGGAATTCCATAATATCTGCCACTTACTAAGTTAATAACCAATGAAATTGAATTGTCACTTCTATAGGATTGCAGCTAAAGCTCTTGTAACTATCACTGCTTTGAGTTCATATAGAGAATGAAATAATATGTACTTCTCATTTACAAGCATTTGCAAGCATCTCATAAAATTTGCAGAAATTGCAGAAACAGAGTTTAGGGCTTATATTTGAATGTGAGTAATTGTTTTTTTCAAATGACTAAAAAACCACTACCTGTATGTTCTCATTTCTACAGATTTTAATAAAATGGAGGATCAGTAAAAACGAATCACAGGATACTGCATTATCAGAGTATTCAAGTTGTAATTTATGAGTCTGGGATACAACACTGTATTTCAGAAGAATGAAGGTATCTTTTGGGCAGTAAAGGAAAAAAAAGCATTTTTATGTAAAGAAAATGATCTAATCATGAGAAAACTGTTCCCTTAATGATGCTAACAGTTTCTTTTTCTAGAAACATAATACATCAATCTACTTGTCTTCATCCATAAGTTCATTAGGGAGGTGCCTAATGACTTTCATTATAAAATGAAAAGAAGGTAAAACTGATATGAAATTGCAAAGTTAGAGCCTGAATGCTTCATTGTGGAATTTTTTGACCTGGAATAATCGATATCAGTTACAGGCAAATGGCTGTAAGATGACCACATAATTAATATTTCTACTATATTTGTCAGATCAACAAATAATTTTACTTTTATTTCATCATTTGCATATAAAAGGAAGAGTCCTTTTATTTTACACATCCAAGCTCACTTGCAAAGACACTAGATAGTAAATACAGCATTCTACTACTTAAAAGTATGACTTACCTAAAACTTCACTGTAAAGTTCATTCCAAAGTTTCTCATCATAGAATTCAAACCAAAAGTCAAAATAAAGCATGCATATCATGTTTTTTACCCTTTCTATGAAACTCATTTGACCACTTAGTCTCGACATAATGATAGGTACGTAAGAAGGAGGAACTAATAACCCTCCTCCATGTTTTTCCACTTGGAAGCCAGGGGTGAAGCGGACACTGTACACAAAAGGTATTTTTAGAAGCTCAGCCACCAGCTCACCACAGGGAGCAACGGGATCTGCAAGAAGGACATCAAATCTTGATTCTTGGAGTTTTGTCATAAGCTTCTTGTTTGAAACTGCATCTTTACAAATATTCCCCCAAATAACAGAATATTCCCTCATGATGTCTTCCACCACTGGATAATATGCCAAACATGTATCTATTGATCCAACACTCATCGAGTTAGTGACCCACTGATTGAAATATTCTTCCAATTCACTGTTATTGAGAGATGTAGGAAATGTTTCAAATTTAATTCCAGATGATGAATTCACATCAACAAAAATGAAACTTGAAGGTCTCAGGACTATCACCTCATGTGCCCTCTGGATAAGTTCCTCTAATATGTTCTTCATAGTCATCCAGTGGCTGTATTCCATCGACCACACCAGCACCTTTCCACAGCTTCCAAAACTGAAATAACAACCCAACTGCAGCAGCAGCAGAGCTGAGATCCATTTCATAGACATCTTGGTAAGATGAAGCATTTCTTTTCAAATTGTGCTACATTCTGCCAGTGCTCATGATTATATTCATTGAGAAATTAACCAAAAGTTAAAAGATAACTTGAACTGACCAAAGTACATATGTCAAATGGATTAATTATAAAGAGAGATAGAAAGGGCAAATGTAAATAATTACATGATTTTATAAGAGCATTTAATTTCTCTGTTAAGGTTAAGTGATTTCAGTTGGCTTGGACTCCATTAGCAGTATGTTTCAAGCAGCTGTATTATGTAAGCAATATAAAAAAGATGCAAGAACAGTGGCAAATGTCCGGTGACAGTCTTGTGACACATATCTAGGGATATAGTAGCTACACGGCCTAAAGGTAATTTTGAAAGTCACTACTGAGCTTGAAGAGAGGGCAGGGGTGAGGGGACAAAATGAGAATCAAGACCACCTGTCATGTAAAGGTACAAGATCCCAACAATGAATTTAACTGTACTGTATACCTAAAATGTATCAATGAACTGAATAAAAGCAAAGAAAACAAAAGAAAGGAATGACCAACAATTTTTGTAAGAATTTTGATGAAGTACAATTCATTTATGGACAGTTCAATAATTCAAAGTGTCATTTGTTGTTTTGAAGTTTTTTTACAGATATGTAATACTATAACTTCCAATTTTAAAACACTTTATAAATACAACAGGATATTTCCTCTAAAATTTAACCTCCTTTCCCAAAGATCTGCAAGTTCCATAGAATTTCACCCAACATCCCTATATTTGCACCTCTCTCTAGGCAGTAACTATACTTCAGGCTGGCACTCTATTTCTTTGAATGTGTACTTTTAAAATTCTGCCTAATAAATATTTATGCATCTTTTATGGACAACTCATCTTTCTGTGAGTGGAATCAGTGAACCTGCTCCCTGTTTCATGGTTGAAGTTAGTCAGGCTCCCCATCTCCACTTCTCAGACTTCCTTGGACTTTGTGTGGTGACAGTTATTTAAATTCTAATGTATAAAATCACCCAAACCAAAAGCAAAGTACATTTTACTTTTAATAGTATATTCTCAACTGAGAAATAGGCATTTATTTTATACTCTATATTTTTCAGCTCTTGATAGTAACCTGAGGACTTTAAAGACTATGTGATATAGAAGTGATATAACTCCTAACCTGGTAGATGTCAGATCTACTGAGTTTATCTGCATTGAAATCAAAGAACAAATGCCAAGGAATAATGGAAGTTCAGTGTAGGAAAGATTTATAGTCCTTTGTCAGGGGTAATTTGTACAGCAAAATCACAATTTGGGTCCAACATGCTGCAAACTATAATCAACCTATGGGACTACAAGTACATATAGCTTCTTGTCTATTATTGATGCAGTAGGAAAGCAGGTCATATAGCAAGGGTACATGGAAAGAACAAAGACATTTTGGGAAGTGATGAGTCCAAATGTTCACCCACCTGTAAAACTAATGCTGTCTGGATTCCTGGTCCAATGGTGCTAATCGGAGTAAAATTCCAAATTACTACTTATCCTTGAAGGAGGTATTTGGCCTGGCCACTGCATTAAGGCCTGGTCTTCTTCAGATGTGCCTCTAGCTACACTTATGCTGTTCTTATCTTTCATTTCCCTGAGTTCTTGATAATTTAGGTGCCCATAACATGGCCTCTCTGAAAGTGATATTCCTAACCACAGTTAGAATGGGCAAGTTTCATTCTGGCTGCTTTTAACTGAGAAGGGTGGAGCATATTGAAATCAAGGGTCTTTTCCAAAAAGCTAATCTGATGGGCTTTGCATAGGAGTCATTTTCGTTTAGCAGTTACGTACTTTCTTTGTAATTTCAATCTAGTGGATCCTGGTGAAAGGAGTCTGGCACATTTATTGCTGGTTCTACCTGCATGATCATTTGGACTGTGGCAGCCTCTAGAGAAAAATGAAGAAATTTTGTCCAAAAGATTAAACAACATACAATTAATGCCTGAACACTAGAATGGGAAGGTGAATTGGGGAAATCAGCCTCATGCAGAGCCTGCTTTTAAGCAATAATAAGTTTGATTAATACCAGTGTGATAACATGTTTTTCAGGTTTGTATCTGTGACACTGTACACTTGAAAAGTGCCAATGTATCATTTCATATACTATAATGTTAGCAATAATTGGTATCATCTTCAATATTGAAGATATACTCCTAAGTGAAACAAATAAGGCACACATGTGTAAGTACCGAATAGTTCCTCTGGTTTGAATAATCTGCAATAATACAGAAGATCCTAATAAGATTACTAACATTGAGTAATTGGAAGAAAGGAGCTAAAGGTGTAGGGAAGGTGGGAAAGGTAGAGAAAGGGTAAAAAGGGAAAAGAAAAAATGTGAGACAATGAAAAGATGGAAATAAAGTGGTTGTAGATTGGGAGGGGAGGAGGGGGTGAAGGGAGGGCTGTGACAAGGGGAAAAAATGAGAACCAAGACTTGTCATGTAGAGGTACAAGATCCCAACAATGAATATAACTGTACTGTATCCCTAAAATGTACCAATAAACTCAATTAAAGCTGAAAAAAATAACTGGTATCATAATTATATAGAAATCTACTTTTTTTACTCTTAACCAATATTTATACTCCTTTAATATGTTTTACAATATATACCCATATTGACAAAAATTAAGTACACCTTTACATCTCCGATAAGTTTTAGACACATTGCTAACAACCACTAATAGTCTTATTACCCAATGTAGAAGTGTGCCGCTTTCACTGAATAACATAAATGCTTGTTCAATTAAAGCCAATAAAAGCAGATCTAGTTTAGATGCCAAATTTAAAGAGATGTCAAATTTTGATCATTTAATACATTTAAGTTCCAAACATAGAGTGTATAGAAGAGAGCACCTATTAGTTACTTTCTTTGTATTAAACTTATGTAATTTTAAGTTAATAAATGTTAGCTTAAACTTAGACTCAGAGCATAGCTGATATTGAAAACAAACCCCATCATATTTATCCAGTCTCCAGTGAATGGGCAATTGGGCTATTCCCAAGCTTTAGGTATTACAAACTATGCCTCTAGAAACATGGGTGAGCACATAGCACTGTGCTATGATTCTTTTAATTCTTTGGGGAAGGTACCCAGCAGAGGAATAGCTTGGTCAAGTGGGATTTCTAATCTAAGACGTTTGAGGTATTTGGTTTGGATATTCTATGAGGTAGTCCTAAAAATCCTATTTATATCCAAATCAATAACGTGGTTACCTTAAAATTATACATCATCCCAATGAGAGATGGAAGTATGTACTTTTGCTTGACCTTATTCCTGTCTTGTTTACAAATGCCATAAAATTTGTAGATAGTAGAACATGCTGGTATAAGTGGATATGAAGCACCCTTGTTATGATTTCACTGTATTCCAGAGAGCTCTTGCTTACACCACCATGGAAGAATCCCCAAGTCCTTCTCCAGGGCAGAACTGGTCAGCCTACTGAGTGTCTTATTCACATTCTAAAAATGAGCTGGGGAAAAATCTGTTTTCCAGAGAAGTTTGACAACTCTTCTGATTTTTAGTTCATGTTCTGCACCGATTTTTAAAATGTATGACTCTATAGAAAAGAATATTTCCATATTTCTTTTTTTTTCTTTTTTTTTGGAACAGGGGATTGAACTCAGGACCTTGTGCTTGCAAGGTAGGTGGCAGAATCACTGAGCTAAAATCCCAGCCCTCCATATTTCTTAATATTATCATACCAAAAAGAGAAGTGTAGAAGAGACAAAAGTTTCCTGAATGACTTGTAAAAGTCAAAACTTGGCCAGAGAAGCAGCACCCTGTCTTCATGGGAAAAAGCAGACCTGTGTGGAAAGAAAGGCTTCCTACTTCCATTAAGGATGCAGTAATATGTATGCAACATCTCTGCTGTGGACATAAACTGCAACAGCCCCCTCCCACCATCAGGCTGCAGCTTAACTGCAGCAGGGACAATAGGGCTGATCAAGTTCCCTACTTACTCATGGGAATAAGGAGCTCCCTAGGCTTGGGTGGTAAATGCATTGTAGAGGGAACTGGCAAAGCAGCCTTGGATGCAGGGAGGTCACCCTGAAACGCCATAACACAAAGCATAGAAAATTGTGATTGGCTGGATCCTGAAACTGTACATCCTGTAAAGAAACCATTCATTCAATACCTTTGCAATTGCTTTGTTTGACTCAACCTGGGTTTTAAAAATTTGTGCCTTACATCATTTTATCTTTCTTTCATTAGATCTTCTGGGGGAGTTATTTTTTCCTTTTATTCTATTTTAATTGCTTTTCTTCACTTCAGAATTATCTCCTTCTTATTTTGTTTATATTCTCTTTTTCCTGTGTTCACAGTTTTTCTCCCTTTTCTTGTTTGATCTTCCCTGTGACTATTCTCCATGACTTATAACTTCCTTTTACTCTGCAATAGTACCCATTTCACGTTTCTCTTGCTATCATAGCCTCTTGTTTAATTTTTAAAATTTTCTTTGTTTCCACATTGCCCACATCTTCTGCTTTTAGTAATATAACTTCTAAGCTTATGGATAACTAATTAAACATTACTCATTGTGGTAGAACACAGTTTGGTGTAACTGGAGACAAATTTGTTCCATTTGGTAGATATTTAATGTAGATCAATCGTTGGTTAATATCTATTTGTCTCCGTGTTCCTGCTCTAATCACAGATCTCTTTTCTGTGGTTAAGTGTGATACTGTTTTTGGTCCTTGTGGTTCACAATAGATTGATGCTATACTTAATGTAGATTATATTACTATAGCGGAGGTGACACAGCTGTCGCTTTCAAGTGGTTTTTGTGGAATATCAATATCCAGATTGCCTTAAGATTGCTGACAATATTATTACACATCTCTGGGAAAGGTTTTAAACTCCAATCTCAGGTAAAGGGAGAAGGTTAAAAAGCATGACAGAGGCAAATATTTGGCCATGCCGAAAGGATACAACTGAAAATAAGTAAACTAAGAGGTCACCATACTTGAAAGCTTTCTTCTACAATAAATCTGCAAGCCTCAACACCAAAACAAATATAAAATGTGGGA